AATCTATAAAAAGATTTTCATAAGATAATAAGAAATGTGATCACCAATATGTGGAGAACAACCAAACCTCCAAAAATTACGAAGGCATCAAGGAAATCTAAATTGGGTACGATAGTAATCATCCATGTAGCATAAAGTATGGCAAATGGCCATGAATCAAATCACCATGGCCAGTGTCTCTTCCTCAGCAAATCAACAGTATCAACAATTCGATCGAAACAGAGTAAGTTTTCTTATAGTAAGTTTTCTCATAAATAAGTGCTATTGAAGGAAGCTATTGCAATGGATGATAGAGTAGAACTAATATTATCGGTTCTTTGATGCATTTCATCAATCACTTGATGTGCATCGTCAAATCTACTAAGTTTGAACAAAAAAATTCCAATCCTGCTGAGCACCTTTTTAAGTCTCCAACATCTGAAAACAAAGCAGCTGAAGGAAAGATACATGATGCTAAACACCTGACAAATCTATTGAAGAACATACAGAAAAAGATGCAAAATGTAATTTTTTACTTACTCTTCTGATTTCTGAACATGATGATGCTTTGTTTCATCCTCCTGATTCCTTACGACTCGTCTTTAAGGGTCGTTGTAGGCGGTGGTGGTGTTACCTGTTTAAAGGTTCATCGTAAAAGTAATTCTTAACAAACCCAACACCTCCGGTACTCCGACTACCTAATTCTTAGTTGAACCCATGTTCGTCCGGATGGAACCAGAAGTAGGAAGCCTAATAGCAATAACGGAAGGAAGAAAGAGAACCGACAGAGGAAAAGTATGATAGTAGTGGCGATTCTCATAGATCTTTTCTCCAGTGTTTTGTCTGAGTGATTGGAGTGGAATGGATCGAGCTAGGGCTTTTCTGTGGAAGAAAGAAAGAGATGGAACGCGGTACGAAGAATGTGGAAGGTCATAAGAATTAAAGCGGTGGTTGGAGGACATGTACGCATGGCACCAATCGATTTTAGAGTTAATACACATGGTTTCTTCTATGAAGTAGTGGAAAATAGACTAATCTCTTTTATGGGATAGTGGACAGAAATATTAAAAAAAAATTAGTGGTGGTCTAATAGGAAAGAAGTCATGTTCACTAGGTACTTGTAAATTAGTGTGTGTGTGTGTGTGTGTGTATATATATATATATATATATATATATATATATATATATAATGACATGTTTTATTTTATTTTTAATTATCACAAACCCCAAAAGGTTGAATAATGACAACCTCAACTCCGAACAACCCTAATGATGTGAGGTACTCAACGTCGACTTACCAAGCTTAGAGAACCGGTTAGCAGTAGAAACATGGGAAACTACAATCGAAGGAAAACCTTCATACCGTCATTGCCAAGATTTGAACCAAAACCATTTATTTTACCTCAACTCCGAACAACCCTAATGATGTGAGGTACTCAACGTCGGCTTACCAAGCTTAGAGAACCGGTTAGCAGTAGAAACATGGGAAACTACAATCGAAGGAAAACCTTCATACCGTCATTGCCAAGATTTGAACCAAAACCATTTATTTTATCTCAAATCCCAAGCATGGAATCCTGATCCAAATAAGTTAAAGACAACAAATTTGTTTTATCTTAACTTCACCATTTCCATGAATATTGTTGTTTGATATTTTGTCAACAAGATAATATATTACAAAAATTATCATATCATATCATCCTATCATCATATCATACTATACTATAAAAGATGCATTTTATCTATCACCATATGCATTTGAAAACCTTCATAACTTTTCAATTTCCAACTTAATATGATTCATTTATTATTTTAAAATATGTTATTAAATGGAAAATATTACATTATTATTGATGGATTTTTAAAATGATTATACGATGATGTGAGGTATTAACGTCGACTTACCAAGCTTAGAGAACCGGTTAGCAGTAGAAACATGGGAAACTACAATCGAATGAAAACCTTCATACCGCCATTGCCAAGATTTGAACCAAAACCATTTATTTTATCTCAAATCCCAAGCATGAAATCTTGATCCAAATAAGTTAAAGACAACAAATTTGTTTTATCTTAACTCCATCATTTCCATGAATATTGTTGTTTGATATTTTGTCAACAATATAATATATTACAAAAATTATCATATCATATCATCGTATCATCATATCATACTATACTATAAAAGATGCATTTTATGTATCACCATACGTATTTGAAAACCTTCTTACCTTTTCAATTTCCAACTTAATATAATTCATTTATTATTTTAAAATATGTTATTAAATGCAAAATATTACGTACCATATTATTGATGGATTTTTAAAATGATTATACAATGATGTGAGCTACTCAATGTCGGCTTACCAAGTTTATAGAACCGATTAGCAGTAGAAACATGGGAAACTACAATCGAAGAAAAACCTTCATACCGTCACTGCCAAGATTTAAACCAAATCCACTTATTTTATCTTAAATCCCAAGCATGAAATCTTGATTCAAATAAGTTAAAGACAACAAATTTGTTTTATCTTAACTTCACCATTTCCATGAATATTGTTGTTTGATATTTTGTCAACAATATAATATATTACAAAAATTATCATATCATATCATCGTATCATCATATCATATTATATTATAAAAGATGTATTTTATCTATCATAATATGCATTTGAAAACATTCATAACTTTTTAATTTCCAACTTAATATAATTCATTTATTATTTTAAAATATGTTATTAAATGCAAAATATTACCTTATTATTGATGAACTTTTAAAATGATTATACGATGATATGAGGTACTCAACATCGGCTTACCAAGCTTAGAGAACCGGTTAGCAGTAGAAACATTGGAAACTATAATCGTAGGAAAACGTTCATACCTTCATTGCCAATATTTGAACCAAAACCATTCATTTTATCTCAAATCCCAAGCATGAAATCTTGATCCAAATAAATTAAAAGACAACAAATTTGTTTTATCTTAACTCCACCATTTCCATGAATATTGTTATGAATATTGTTGTTTGATATTTTGTCAATATCATAATATATTACAAAAATTATCATATCATATCATCGTATTATAATATCATACTATACTATAAAAGATGCATTTTATCTATCACCATATGCATTTGAAAACCTTCATAACTTTTCAATTTCCAACTTAATATAATTCATTTATTATTTTAAAGTATGTTATTAAATGCAAAATATTACCTTATTATTGATGGATTTTTTAAATGATTATTATAAAACACTTATTAGTTCATTAAATATACGTTAAATCCAAAATATAAATAAACTTAAAAATATATTTAAAACTTAAAAATTATTTTTTTTGTTATAATTCAACTTATTCCAAATAAATAGTTTTTAATTAATTACAGGAAACAATAGTTTGTAGACCGACAAACAATAGTTCATATATAAATTAACCATGATGATCGGAATTAAAAAAGAATATCAATAAATAAGTAACTTCTAAACTTAAACTAATCAATCAGTACGTTGAATTATAACACTAAATCGAAAAAATTACATGTAGATGCTATTAAATGATATGATACTAAATCGAAAAAATTACATGTAAATGGTATTAAATCAGTAACTTCGTTTAATTTATATCAGTGATGGAATTCGAGTGTAGTGAGATTGAAACTTAAGTGTCTATAAACATTTCGTGCAATCTGTAAACAATCGTATTACTTCCAAATTACAATCAACTTCCTCTAAAATCAATTACAACACTCATCTATCACCCGATAATCAATCAATCTAATCATCTTTGAAGGGAAAAAAAGTTTGATAACTAATAATAGCTCTATTTAGTGCAATGAGCATCAGTACCTTGTTGCACACAATGAGTGTACCCAAGATCACCTAGAAATTTCCTAATCTCTTTTGAACTACTATTGCTAGCTTGTAAAAGTCTTTCATCTTCCTCATAAATCAAGTATGGAGCTTCACCTTTCTTTCTTGATAGCAACTTTTTTGCACCTTTCAACACATGATACTCCCAACCTTGAACATCTATTTTCAAAAGCAACACATGTTCATTCTCTGGTATCACTTTATCAAGAGGAATCGATCTCACTTTCATTTCAATTTCTTCATTTGATTTGAAAGCCATCTTTGCTCCAGTTGCTGAAACTGCACTATTGTCTAGCCTTCCAACCAACTAACAACAAATCCAAAATTCCCAAATTGAGAAAAGATGATATGAATTAATAGAATTATGATCAACATTGGAAAATAGTCAACATACCTTGTGAAATGTTATGTTTCCGATTTGATCAGAAGTAGCAGCTTCAAAAACGTTAACTAAATCTCCAACTCGATTGAAATAAATCCCGTTACAAATGCTTTGTAGATTTTCGAGAACGGGTTCAAATGCGAAAACCCTAAACCCCATAACTGCAGCAGCGAAGGTAGCCATGCCTACATTTGCTCCAACATCGATGAAAATCCCGGTTTTTCCTTCGGCCTTCTTCTTCTCCAATAAGTCCTGAACAGTTGCAGAGATGTCGGGTCTTCTGAACAGCTTTCCTTTCAAGATCCGGACGATGTTCTTGTGGGGTTTATCAGGTAATGTTCCAAAATCAGATAGAGAGTAGAGAAATGGATATTTAACGCCTTCGACTAGGTTTGCGATGACTGGATGTGATTGAGGTGATTTGTAGCAATCGAATGGTTGGATTAGTGAGTTGGGGAGATTTATTAGGGTTTTGAAATTAGGGTTTGGGTTTGATGAGGTTGTGGTGTGAGTGCAGAGGTAGAAGAAGGTGAGGAGGACGAGAGAAGTGGAGAAGAGGAGGAAGATGCTTTTTGGGGTGGCGAATTTAATGGATCGGTCTTTCTTCCAAGCATTTGCCATGGAAGTTTGGGAATTTGATTCAGGAAATTAGGGTTTTTGGTTGATCGATTTCAAGAATTCAATTCACGGGAGATGGAAAGATTGGATCTTGAGAATGCGAGTGGAGAAGGATGCTCTTACATGAGCTGAAGAGATGTATGCTACCCTGCATCGTACAACACTCAATGCATGAAGTACAAGTTACAATTCAATATCTATCCTGTCGACGAAATTCTTTAATTGTTTTTTCATTACCTCGTGTTCCCCAACTTAGCTTAAAAATCGTGTTCCCAAAATACCCTTCTGTTGTTTCTGATAGTGTAATTGCAATTCTTTAATTGTTTTTTCAACACCACTGAGATTCGTAGAGGGTGTAAGGTTTAAAACCCAATATTTGTAAGCTTCACCCGATTGAATTATAGGAAGCTAGACCACTGTTATTATTTGTATATAGCAGTCATCTTATAGAATTTAGGGGTTTCATTAAGCAGGAGATTACAGTATCAAATCACCTAGTTGTCAATAATACTTTCAATCTGATCTATTTAGCGAAGTTGAAATACAATTTATCAGTTTGATCGATAGAAAACTAACCAGAAGATTCCAATGAGAGCAGATAGCTACTCCAACAATATAAATATCTTCCCCGTCTTCTCCATGTAAGTGTTGATTTTAGTACAAACCAAGACAAAAGGTTAACTTTTCTGAGATCCAACCTCACCGACCTTTTTACAGACGATAGTGTGGATCTAACCTCACCGTGTAAGGGAGGCGAATCGGCTGTGGTGGATGTAGACAGATGGTGGACCCTTCGATGATGATGTTGATGCAGAGAGAGAGACAGAGAGGGAAGGAAACAGAGATGCGTTGGTGCGGTGGATGGTAGTAGCGGAGATGGTAGCGTCCGCTTTAGGGTTTGAGAGAGAGGTGGAAGCGAATTCTGGATCGAGAGTATTTGCTTGAATGGGGTTTCAAATTCAATTTCTGAAAGAGTATGAATGCTGATCCGATCTGGTGTTAAACAGAGGGGTATTTTTTTGTTAGTAATTGACTATTATACCCCTTGCATTGTATTTTAATTATTCCAACGCTTTTTGGGAGCTGATATGATTCTCTTTCAACTCATAAACACAAGCACGCTTACGCCTTGCTCCCGAATTTAATTGAGCTTCATTACACGAAAGAAAAGAAAAGGAAGTAAAATATGGAGAGAAAAGAAAGGGAGGGGAAGGAAATGATTAACTTTTTCGTGTTCCCGAGTTCGAAGGAAAGGAAGGGAAGTTTTTTAAAATGTGTGTTCCCGAGTTCGAAGGAAAAGAAAAGAAAAGAAAGCTAAATAACAAAATTACAATTTTATCCTATTTTTAACCAAGATTATTACATACATAGTTGAAATTGAAAAAAAAAATTTGATTTGCATGTTAACGTCATATTTGTTGTCTAAACATTCATTTACACACATACATATTATTTTGTCAAATACAACTTACATATAATATTAAATTAAATTACCAATGAATAGCAACACATAAATAATATTAAAATAAAAAAAGTTGTGGATATCTTTTAATAGCATTTGTCTAATTGAAAAGAAACCAAACTATAAAAATCATCCAAAACAATGCAACTTAATTCAACTACGATTCGAAAAACCATAATTCAATTCGTGAAACCAAAAAAAAGTTGAATAAAGAACCAAGAAATAAACACCGATTCTCCCAATTCATCATTTACCTGCACCGCATCATTGTTTTTAGTATATCCTTCCTTATGTTCATTGGACAAGTAAACAACGTCCTCGCATCTGCTTGGTTACGAGCCAAATACATGAGAGCACATGGTATTTCATGGGCTTCCAATCCCATCGGCTGCAATTCTTGATAAATTTCATCACCTGTTAACTCATGATGGTAAGCTCTTTCAAAAATTTTGTTACCTTCCCTCATTGCATTAGCCACATCACTAACAGCATTCATAATCTTTGTTTCGAATGTTTCAGGTTCAGGTTGAGGCTGAGGTTCAACTTCCTGTTCTACTTCATCTACGAGTTTTCTTTTTTTAGTTTTACATTTTTTCGCACTTGAATTTTGTTCAGGTGTAGGAGACACCACTTGAATGTCATCTTCATCATCATCTACACGTTGGTTCTCCAGTCTAACATCATTACTTGCTAATAAAGAATCAACCTCTGAAATACTTTCTATTTTGATGTTCGTAGTGTTGTTAAACCTAGCATTTCTCTCTTTTGCAGTTTCAGCATTTTCTCCTGAAGCTCTATCTCTTGCAAATAATACCAACATTTGTTCAAAGTGGGCCACCTTTTTTGTCTTCAGTGCAATTGCATCAGGCTTCGACTGTTTAAAAACCCCAAAATACATTAAAATTATTAATAATAACATAATATAAAAATAAAATAAATACAACCTTAAATGAAAACTAACCTTAATTAAGTTATCCCAAACCTCCTCATCTACTTCAATTAGTTGGGTATCAGCATTCCAACCGAACCCACTCAAGGAAATCCCATTGAACATGTCATACCATTGTGAAAAAGTAGATTTCAAAGTTTTCAAACGATTTTTTAAATGACTTTTAGTTAAATTCATTGTAAGTTTCGTATTGATCTCCTCAACCATATTCGCATATGCTTGTGATGTAAAATTTCCATAAGGCCTATTTCCTTTTTCTTGTTGTTGTACCATTGCATCAACAAATGCAGCATCCATATGTTCTGTCCAGTTCAAGAGTGATTTCTTACCAGTATTTACAATAGGTTCTTGCTTGTTCATTATCGGGTTCTACATAACATAAAAAAACATACATTATTATAAAAAGAACATAGTCATAAAGTGTACAATTTATCAAAAATAACATAAATAAAAATTTAAAATAACACAAATGAATTCACAAAACAATGTTCAATAAAAATTCAAATTGCAAATGAAGTAATATAACGAAATACTCTTAAACTATGTTGACATATTTATTTCATTGTTTGGATTCAATAAGTAATTAGTCCACATTTGATTTGCAATTGAGTTCCTAAATTGCTTTGCCATGCTGTTACCCTCACGCGCACCACTTGAATTATGTCTGACTTCCTCTGTTGGTGCACTTAACACTTCCTGTAATACCTCATCTTCAAGATCTTTGTCACGATCTTCAACTATCAAAAAGTTATGCAAAATACAACACGCCAAAAAAATATCTGATTGTGTTTCACAAGAATAAAAAGGTTCTTGTGTACTTCTAATGATAGGGAACCTTCTTTTTAGAACACCAAATGCCCTTTCTATAGCATTACGTAATGAAGCGTGACGAAGATTGAACAACTCTCTAGCATTTTGTGGTGCCCGAGTGGAATATTCTTTGAGATGATACCTAACACCTCTATATGGCGCCATTAATATAGTTGAGTGAGGCAAACCTGCGTCTACTAAATAATAGCGACCTATAATTAAATTGTAATTAGTTTTTTAATAATAATTTAAACTAAAAAGTAAAGAGTTGATACTAGAAATTACCATTTGGAATTACTAGTTTATCATCTCTATTAAGCGCATTCTTTAGTATCCTTGAGTCTGATGCAGTACCCTCCCAACCAGTTAAGACATACGTAAACTTTAAATCAAATGAACAAGCAGCTAACACATTTATCGTTGGGTAAACCTTGCGGCCACGATATCTAGGGGCATCTCTATTAGGTACTTTGACACGAACATGTGTACCATCAATTGCTCCTACACAGTTCTTGAAGTAAGGAAAGAATCTCTTTTTCTCTTGAATTTCTTTGGGGACAACATCACCTTGTGGTTGTTGAATATAAAGACTTTCTAATGCTATAACCGAGCGCAAAACTCTATGGAAACACCTACTCGTTGTGGATTTCGAGCGCCGATACATCCAAGAGACAAATGTGTTTCTCAAATCATTACTTACAATGTGCAAAAATCTTTCAACATGCTCTTCAACAGACATTCGTTGAGTAGGTCGAAGACCACCATCACGTCGTAAGATAACACATAGCTTCTTAAAAGCTTGCTCACTCATACGGATAAGCTGACGACATTGACCACCATTTGAAAGGTTATGTAACAACTCTTCCCGTACACGTCGACGTTTTAAAAGAGTTTCTCTAGTAGGTAAATTAGGACCATTCTTGATGGTAAGTTTGTGTTGTACCAGAATAGCAATCAACAAGCAAATTAGATGAACAACTTGCATTTGTCTTGATTTCAAAATATGAGCGGGTGAAGGAAGGTCAATATCCATTGAAATCAATGTGACCTATTTTACGTAAAAAATGTGAAGGATTATTAAGAGGCAATGGAAAATTTAAGAAGGGCTTACGTGGGTCATCTAACCCACCTTAATTTTTAAAATTATTTATAATTATTGTAGAAAAAAACTTAAGAACCACCTTTGAAAAATTTGAGGAATCACCTTAGCTTTTTGAAAAGTTAAAGTAAATAAAAATTTACTCATAGTTCCTTTGGTAGGCATGAATTTTTGATTTGGGTTGTATCCGGTTTATATGAGTGTTGGTTATTTTAATCAAATATTTTGCAATACTTGTATGTAAACTTTGATAAGTTGTTTATAGTTTCAATAATGTCATCGTTTAGGCCAACAAAAAGCTTTATTATTTTCATCTTTAAACGTGTAATTGACCCACCTATTCATAACATTCTATAAAAATCAATAGAAAATTTTGTGTTTATTTTTTTGCAGCAAAAACAGCCATACATCCAAAATAAAAGCAAGGGCAAAATAGTCCAACAGGAGATACTTTGAGAATTGCATTGAGTAATAGTTAATGCACGTATTTGCTATTGAAAGGAACTATCACAAAATGTTGTTGACATGTTATACATCCCTTGGTCGTGAGAATGAGTGTGTATGAGGATCAGATCAATGGATCTTGAAGAAGAAACAAATTCAGAAAAAAAAAAAAAAAAAGTTGTAAACATATATTGAACCTGAGGATACTTGTATTGATGCTCTAAACATAATATCATAAGAGGAAACATGTAATGGTGTTCTAAACATATTATTACAAATAACCTAATGAATCAATTCAACTTTAATAACAAAAAATGAGAAGAAACAAACTATAAGAACATATTATTACAGGTTATGTGATCTGAAACATTTAAGAACAATAATGAATAGTAAACATATTATATGAACCAGAAAAAAAAAAAAAGGTTGTAACATAAGTGTAACCTGATGAACAAAATTTAACAACCAAAAAATTCATTGGAGAAGACAGTGTAACCTGAAGGAGGATTGAAGCTGCAGCAGACGTCCAAAGAGAAGATGCAAGATGATTTTTTATTCCCTGTGTGTATGTACGTGATTATATAGATAGGTTTGAAAAACCGTGTGTTCTAATCTTTATCCTTGATTCTCTTCTCTCCAAATCTCTCCAATTTGGGAGGAAGATTAGGAGGGAAGATTATCCTCTGATTTCCTTTCTTTTCTGCCCAAATCATCCCAATAAAATAACTTGGGAACACGGTCGTACTCCTCTTTCTCTCGGATTCAATCCCTTTCTCTCAACTTCTCTCGTTAAATGACACTCGGGAACGAGGTGTTAATCTCGCTCCTTCAATACCTGCATTATCACTGGAAACGTTTTTTTAAAAAACAGCCCACAAAACTGCAAACGAGTGAGGCAAGGCAAACATGTATGCCCTTTCGTCTATTCCTCTACAATTTAGGCGATACCTAAAAAAATTTATATCTATTCTAATAAAAGAATAATTTTAATATCCTTTTGATATGTGTCATTTTATTAGGCCTTTTAATTAATATATATTTTATTCAACTTTTATCATGTGTCACCATATTAGACCTCCTAATTAATCCATTGTCACTCTATTAATTCTCCATTTCAAATTTTAAATTTTAAATTTATCACTTTAATTAAATTAAATTAATAATATTAGAATAAAATTAAAATAAAATTATTACAAATTATAGGTGATATAATATTTCATATATTTATTTAAATTAACGATTATAATTTTATATAACTAAAAAAATATATTTTAATTAATAATTTATTTAAAATAATTAATTAATAATTTTTTTTTCACTAAGAAAATTTAATTAATTTTGTAATCGTGATTTTCATAGGTTATAAACTAGTTTTTATAACAAATGAAATAACTAATGGCATATGCCAAATGTAACTATGTAAGTTTGACTATGGTTTTATACATTTTAATTACATCTCTGACTATGATTTCGTACATTGTTCATTCTGTCTTTATATAAAATGTAGAAAAAAAAATTGAATATCATTGTTATTTTCTCGTCTAGTACGAATTCTAATCAATATTTCGGTGTGTTTGTAATTGGTGGGAAGTAAGAGATAGTTGATTTTAAAATCTCAAGAGACCATAAGTGAATGGGAAGGGGCATTACACTGAAGGAGCCGAGTTGATCGATTTTGTTCTTGATGTTGTTCGTAAGGAGGCTAAGAATTGTGATTTATTACAGGGTATACATAAAATTCATCAATTAAACAATCTTAATCATCTACGGACATCATCATTTCAATTTCATATGTTGTAGTAATTTGATTCTTGATCTTAGACATGTATTCTATTAATGGGGTTCTTTGTGTTGGTATCTGATAAGGTTTCATGTTTGTCATTCATTTAGAGGATGAACAAGGTCTAGAATGAGGACACTATTGATTTCAATGATAAGAGAGGAATACCCAAATAGAGTGATGTTTACATTTTTTGCGTTTCCATCATCAAAAGTCTCAGATATCGTTGTTGAGTTGTACAATGCTACACTCTCTGGGCATCAACTGGTTGGAAATGATGATGAACGTATAGTTCTTGAGAATGAATCCCTTTATGACATATGTTTCGGGACCTTAAAGCTCAACACTCTAATTTGTGAGTACTCTTGTCTTTAAATAATCTTAAATTTAAAAATCAATTGCTTTCATTTACTTATTTATTATAATGTCTTACTTTTATTTCTTTATACTACATAGTTTTAGTTTTTCTTATTATGGAAATGTGTTTTGTACACTACCCAATTATTGCATTATACTTCTATTTCAATTATATACGTAAAAATTGTTTTGTATTTTTAATATAATTGAAATAAATGGGCAGTCTTTTCAAAATACTATGTTATAATAGGAAAAAAATGAAAGTACATTACTTAAATAGTTGAAAGCCTGTCACCTTTTTTGGCATTTAACACTAAAATGGTCTATATGAAAAAAAAAATACCCACGTACTTTCAATTTTTTTATTAGTAACATCAAATTTTTTGTTCTTTCTATTATATCATTTTAGTTTCAACATTATTCATATTTAGGCACTATAATTTATAAAACTCTTCCTGATTATAACAGTGAAAATTATTTTCTATCTTTCGGTGTCTTACTAACACATGTGGATGCTGCAAAACTTTTAGACTCCCTATTGAAGTTAAGCAAAACATGTTGTCATCCTCAAATGGAAAGTTCGTGCTGCAGCAGGCTCCTCCAAATATAGAAACAACTCCATCCCATGTTTGCAGTGCAAACAATGTTTTAAAAATCGGTTTGAACTGGCCGGTTGAACTTGTTGGATCGGGAATTCGGAGAGAGAGCGGTTAAACTATCACCGGTTTTACATTGATTTCTGAACCGGATTGAACTGGCTGATTTTTAGAAAAACTCAGTTGAACTGGTCAAAATAAACCGGTTGAACCGGTTAAACCGAATAAAAACACATGAAAAATAATCATTTACATAATAAACTTTGGTGCTTTTTATCAAATCTATTTAGTTTTCTCTAAATACAAACACATGGTAAATGTTATAAAGTTTTTTGATGTGTTTGTACTCATCTAAAACTATATTTCGTTTGGATATTATATTTTATTTTCGTTTTGACGTATATAGATTGATGTAAAATACTAAAACTTATGGTTATGTGTTATTTTAATGTATTTGGATTCATCTACAACTTATTTTTATGTGTATTTTTAGTGTTTGAACTTGTAAACATCAAATTTATAATTTATATACGTATGCATGCGTAGGAAAATAGAAATATATATATATATATATATATATATATATATATATATATATATATATATATATATATATATATATATATATATATATATATAGAAACCAGTTCCCCGACGGTTAAACCGGAAATTGGTCACCATACCGGTTCAACTAAAAAACCTGTTTTTAAAACAATGAGTGCAAGGATACGATTATGATGAGATGATGGTAGTTGTGTTTTTCTTTTTTTTTTTTTTTTTGGTTGAAAAGTCTATCAAGTTATAGTCATATCATATTTAGATAGTTTTATTTTTAAAGTGCAATGTCTGATTTGAAGGTATAATATTATAATTTGATTGTTTTATTGAACTATGCACCTTAAAAAAACAACTCGAATGCACCTTAAAAACAATAACCCTCTTAACCCATAAGAATCATGAGCCTCATCACTAGTTAAACTCTTAAAACCCTAAAAAAAATGATGAAATCCATATGGTTAAAACCGTACCAAACTCAAGCAACCGAATAAAATCAAACCGCATAAAACAACCGAATTACCACACCATTATATTAACCGAAATATTCAATTTCTAAATTTTAATAATCATATTTCCACAAGAAAGAATGGGTGGATGTTGTATTAGGTTTCCCCGGGTAGGGTTTTATACGTGAAATGACATGAGCAACCTCCATCACTTTGGCTCCACAAGACAAATTATAGACTTTTTAAGGGACAATTTCGGTAAACAACTAAAATATCCTCTTAAAGGGGAGCAGCTTATCTTGTAGGAGAAAGAAGGTTCTCTAAAACCCACGTATTTACAAGCACAGTGGTTTCAGTTGCAGGCCAAAGTATCAATCTTTCTTCACTCCCTTCAAAATCTTGAAATTTCTATGTAATTAAACCCAAAATTCTCTTAAAAATGACTAATTCTTTGTGTTTTACTCCTCTTTCTTCCTTCAAGCCACGAAACAAACCAGGTATTCTTCGATTTCTCCTTCTTTTTAACATCATGTGTGTGTGTGTGTGTTTCAGTGTATTTTGTGTGTGTAATTCGTTCAAACATCTATTCAAATATGGCGTGTGGGCACTAACGAGTGATGATATTGATAAACTTTTTTAGGATTAATTGGTGGGAACCCTAATTTTCCAAAGGTGATTTGGGTGACTAATCAAAATCTGAAATTTAGAAGATTTCATAGTTTGGAAGCTAAGGTGAGGCTTCTTTTGAATCAAATCATGTTATGCTCAATTTTTAATATTCTTATTCTTCTTTTTGTACGATAATCATGCTTCTATTTCTATTCCTATTCCTATTCCCTTTTCAAACAAATCATTCAATGTCGTCACCCATTTATCCTTCCCAATTTAATTTAATTCATGAAATAACAATGGGGAAATGTTAAAATTATACAAAAATTCAACATTTTAACAAGAATCTGGTACCATAAATTGTTAATTAATCTTTTCAAGATTTCTTGGAACTTAAACGCATGCAATACAAGGAGTTACCAAAAGGTTTCATCGTTTTTACATCATTCTCTTGATCGATTAATAATGTGGTCTTGTTTAGTTTTATAAATTATAATCAACAAAAAACGATATTCCCTTTTCGTTTTATTATAAAAGTTTGAAACTTTATCTTAATCTTTAGATTTTCTGTTTCATTTTATAGGCTACCGATGACACAAAAAGCACCACCAAGGTGAATAGCATAGTTTGTGGTGATTGCGATGGAAATGGTAAGTTTTTCACAAAATGTTCTTTTTTCCATTTTTGGAAATGGTAAGTTTTTTATTTTACCTTTTTGGGTTATTTTTTTTTTCGTAATTTAAACCCTCAATTTACAAATTTAGGCGCAATACAATGTACACAATGTGAAGGAAAAGGAGTCAACACTAAAGATCACTTCAATGGACAATTCAAAGCTGGTGGTTTATGTTGGCTTTGCAGGTATTTGGTTATATTCTTGTAGACCATGTGATTTGTTTCAAGAAAATTGATTTTTTTTTTCTAATTTTTTTTTTCAAAATTACATTTATGCAGGGGTAAAAAGGAGATTCTTTGTGGTGGTTGTAATGGAGCCGGTTTTAGAGGTGGGTTCATGAGCTCCTTTGATGAATAAACAAACTACCACTTTATTATGTTTATAGAAATAGAAATTCAAGAAACGGATTTTTTTTAGTTGTTTTAATGATCTTAAATCATGTATATCAATATAATTTTGTTCCATATGAGTGCCATTCGTTTCTTGAAATTAACACGTTCAATCCAAGAAACCACTTACACATAAAAGGTTATTATAAATTTACAAATTGAAGGCGTACATTTTTTTGGTTATTTGAGTTATTAGAAGCGTTGATACAAGAAAAAGATTATATACAACAAAACATTTGGAAAGTACACTTTTTACATGAGAATCAAAGATCATTAAAAGCAACAAATTTTCAAGCTTCTTTCATGATCATGCCATGATCAAATGCAGAATATCGCCATTGAATTCGAATGATTTCTCAGTTTCTTCAAGACAATGATTCTTCTCCTCTCTTGTCCAATTCTGATTAAACCATGAGAAAATGCATTAGATCGTATTAAGAACACCCTTTGACTTTGAAGGTCAAACTAGGTAAATTTATCATCCATTGTTTCCAAATTGAAACAATCAACATAAATTTCGTTACATCCTTTAATTAAAAACACGTGTATGCTTTGTATAAAACTCGAATTTGAAAATCATTGAGTTTGATTTTGGAAAAATTACCTCTGCAACTCTATTTAATTTCTCCCTAACGTTCTGCAATAATTGGGGAAGATCACCATCCCATTTATAGAACTCCAGTTCTTTCCCATTCAAGATCTTTGCAGCAACCTACAATAAATTTCGAAAAGAAAAAAAAGAATAAATATGGAATTAAATTCTTGATTTTAATTTTTAAACCTGAATAACAGTCGTCCATGATCAAACCTTTCTTCCGATCATCCGACCACCGGCAGTGTGTGCGAAGTAGGTGTTATAAAAATGGCAGATGAACGCTTGTGGATCTTTCTTTGATAATTCTTCGATATAAATCGAGTAATTGATCCCAGGTGATAAAGGTTCAGGAACAATATGACCTTGTTCTTTAAACCATTCCAAATCGATCGCCAAATTTCCCGCCCTTTCGAGTCCAGTGTTCCTAAATTCAGCATCTGAATCGCAAAAAAGGCATCAAGGATATGTTGATTAATAAGGAAGATAAAGTTATTCGATTGAAAAACTTACATTCAGGAAAATCGGCTTTATCAAGAATCGTGTCAAGAGTATCGTAAACCAGTTTACTATCCACCAAGAACTTCAAATACCCATCAATGGTGGGCTCCCATTTACGCCATGGTTTTCCTTGCGTTTCTTTTTCTCCATCTTTCGCTTGATCTTTAGTATGCAATTTCATCGCTACAGACCTCATTTCATCCACAAACCCGCCGGTGTACCTCTTCGAAGTCCTCTCCTCCGCCACCGTTACCACCATTTTCTTGGACTTGGAGACGATTTTAGGTTAGAATTTGAGATGGGTGTTCTGGAAATCGGAGTTTAAACGTATGATACAAATTGGGATTTCTGTGAAAGGAATTGCGGTTAAGAAAGGAAAGATGATTGAGTGTAAAATTGGATAATTCCTAAATGTCGACACAACTAGAGTCTATATAAAATTTTAAAAAAATGAGAAAGGTGGTTGATTTGTGAATTATTTGCTTTTATAAAAGGTGATCTTGAAGATAAAAGAGAAGACTTTAAGAATAAAATAATGAAATCTTGAATCGTTGTTTGGATATGGCGTTATCATCAATTGGGTATTATTACAAATTTTAAATTATGTGAAAAAAAACAAAGACGGGTCTTCAAAAAATTTATGAATAAAGAATGTTAATGGACGGGGTTTTTGCTGTTTTTTATTTTTATTTTTATTTATTTATTTATTTATTTTTAAAGTATATCATACCTTTTTAATTGATTTATGTACCTTTTTTATTAATATGTATATCACATGATTTGATAATTTATATGCAAAAGATATATATATATATATATATATATATATATATATATATATATATATATATATATATATATATATATATATATATATATATATATATATATATATGGTAAAGTGAATATACCTAACAATTTTATATAAGCTTAGGTACCTAACTCTATAATATTACATCGGTTTGTATCATATTTACATTGTAATTGCCTAAGGTTCTTAAACTTCAACCCCATAACTTGATTATTTCCAAAATCTTTGTACTTTCACCAATATCTTTCTTTTACATCACGTCTTTCTATCGAATACCACCTGATGGACTTCATATCCTACCGCTACAAACGAAAGGATATAGGAGAAATATAATCATGAATTTCCAAATTTTTTTTGAAGTAAATCAAGTTTAAGGATGAAGTTTAAGAACCTTGGATGATTGCAATAAAAATTTAATGCAAAATGATGTAGTTTGATGAGGTTAGGTACCTAAGCTTATATAAGGTTGTTAGGTATATTCACTTTACCCATATATATATATATATATATATATATATATATATATATATATATATATATATATATATATATATATATATATATATATATATATATGTTCAGGTTCAATTGAGAGCATTCTAATTTTGTAAAACCGTGAGTCCAAATCTGAAAATAATTTTAAAATGCAAAATAAATGGAAAAATAAAAAAAATTAATATTATTTTCGGAACTTAAATTAACTAAAAAAATAAAAATAAATAAATAAAAATTCCGTTTTCTTTGAAAAATAAGTGAAATATTCTAATAGAATATTACACTGACATATTCTAAACAATAATTTTAAAATACATAACAAATGGAAAAATCTAAAAATTCTTTTTTTAAATATTATTTTCGGAACTTGAATTAACTAAAAAAAATAATAAAAATAAATTCCATTTTTTTTTTTTGAAAAATACGTGAAATATTCTAATAGAATATTACATTGACATATTCTAAGAAATAATTTTAAAATGCAAAATAAATGGAAAAATCCAAAAATTCTTTTTTTAAATATTATTTTCGGAACTTGAATTAACTAAAATAAAATAAAAAAATGCATCTCACGGTCTCACAAAATTAGACCGTCTCACATGAACCTAACCATATATATATATATATATATATATATATATATATATATATATATATATATATATATATATATATATATATTAAATTGAGAGCATTGTCTTAGAGGCTCATACATTATGCCACTTAATATGTATATCACATGATTTGATAATTTATATGCATGAGAGATACATATTATATATATATATATATATATATATATATATATATATATATATATATATATATATATATATATATATATATATATTAAATTGAGAGCATTTACATTATGCCACTTAAGAATTACAATGTATTGTATTTGGTAATAACATTTGTGAAAACACCAACATGGATACCACATATCAGAGTTGTACATGGTCCTAAAAATGGATAATGTCACTGCAGCACATGGAACTTTTTACATTTGGCTAATTTGGTCCTTAAAGTTTTTTTTGATACATTAGACCAGTAAACTCGTAATTGACCTTTTAATGACACCATTTTAGAAGGTTTCCTGGTTACAATGCTTATGTGGCATGTTGATGTGTCCAATAAGCTTACGTGGGAAGCTTATGTGTCGAAGTAGTCCAGTTGTCGATATAGGCTTATTAATTCAAACCCTCATTCGGACCTCCTTTAAATCTTTACTTACCCTTCTCTGAAAAGTCAAAGACTTCTCCCTCCCCAACTATTTCCAACCTAAAGAAGAATGTCTTCGAGCTCATCTACGTCAATGAATCAGCTACAAGTCACTCATGTTCAGTCGCAAGAAAGGGTAAAGGTTTGTCATTGTGGCGTTCAAGCTAAAGAACGAACCTGTTGGAAGATAAAAAAACCATGGGAGGCGATTATGGAATTGTCAAAACAGTATGGTAGGTCCCGATTCTCTTGATTTTGATAAGTTAGTATTTTATGGTTTGATGTGTTGTTTCTTTCTATAAAGACGATAATGGTGTATTTGTATTTTGTTTCATCTGTTAAAAACTCTAATTTTATTTGCTTCTTGACGATCATGTTGGATTAGTGTCTAAGTCCATAACTATTTTGGTATGTACTTGACCCGATGGTGCATGGTCCTTTTGAGTTGCCTTCACCAAAGCAAATTGATTGGAGAAATGAATAAAGAGAGAAAGGATAATATGATTTATTAATATGTTATAAGAATAATATATTAAAGGAGAAATCATATTTGTTTAATTAATATTGGTCAATAATTAATTAAGAATTAGTTTTGTGATCAAATGTAATTAATTAAACTAGAGGGGCTGATTTGTAATTATGTGATAGTTACAAAATAAGGTAAGGATTATCTTATTTATATGGTGGACGAATTTAAGGTTGGAAAGCCTTAGAATTCGAGTATGATAAGGATTCAAGGATTATCTTATTGGTTGCTTAATGGATAATCAACTAGATAAGGATAATGACTGAAACCCTATCTCTACACCTATATAAACACCCCTAGGGTCATGAATTCGGGTATCCCTTCCCAAGAGGTCCTAGATACGAATTCTAACCTCTCACCTCTCTCTTTATACCTTCTCCATTTGCTTATGGTGTTTGTAAGCGATTAGAGGAGTGACACTTGTGACTCTAAGCATTCCAAAGTCAATACAAGGAGATTTGTGATTGTTATTGCTATATAACAATCAAGGTATGTTCTTAAGACCTAATTATATGTTAATGTCGATTTCCATATGCTAGAATTAGGGTTTATAGTCTTGGATTCAAAGATGTACAATAGAGAAACCTAGATCCAAGCATTAGGGTTTGTATGAGCACATAGGATGTCTTATGACCAAAACCCATTAGATCACTGTGAATAAAACTCATTTCGCTGGTACATTAAAGGTAGTTGATTTGTGATTGTCAGTCAAACCCTAATTTAATTGGTTTTTTATAGACTAGGTTGAGGAAATGTAGCTTCTTTGAATGGAAAGATGAAGAACAGGTAGACGGGTACTACAAAAACCTGTTATACTCTCTGAAGCAGAAACTGGATGCCAAAGATGAACTGTCTGAGATGAACAAATTGAGGAGAAGGATTGCTGAAGTAGAGTTTCTGCTGTCACAGGAGCAATATAAGGTGGCAAAGAGTGAGAAAGAAGTTCATGATGCAAGGAAGGCAATAGGCAGGTACCATTTTGATAGTTGCCCTGTTGTTTGCTTGCTTGGCCCTATGTGTTTTGAAGTTAGGGGGTCAATGTAGTTAGTTTGGTTGATTAGTGTAAGCTTTTGTTTTTTTGGGATCCCTTGGATTTTTTGTAAAGGCAGACTAGAAAGTCAGTAATTATGGGCATTTTATATGTATTGAAGCTGGTTTTAGTTATAAGTTGGGGTTATCAACCTTAATGTGTTGATGTTGTAAGGTGGTAAGTCCCTAATGAAAGGGCATATGATAAGTAATGTAAAAAAATATTCAAAGTCCCAATTGTAGGGTATTTTGTATAATCAGATGATGTTTATCAAACATATGCATGGTCTATATTCCCAACAAATATATTTAATTAGATTGGTTGTTGTGCATGTTTTAAATTTGGGAACAAATTAGGGAGTGGTCCATGTGGAAGTACACTATGTGTATGGGGACCATTTGTAGTGTTTTAATAATGAAAAAATGGGACTTGTGAAGCCATTAAAAAAACCATATCCGGGACCATATAAAACATCCCCATGCATGCACATTATTCCAATTTTTTCCATGCATAAATATTCAAAGCCAAATGTCATGATTTTACTTAAAATGGTAACATACTTTCATACTTCATGTCATACATAAATAAATGACCAACATACCCTTTTCGGTCATACATAAATAAATGACCAACATACCCTTTTCTGTCATACATACTTAAATTACCAAAATACCCTTTTCTGTCATACGTACTTAAATGACCAAATTACCCTTTTCTTGCATACATAAATGAATAACCTACATACCCTTATCTGTCATAAATAAATAAATGACCAACATACCCTTTTTCTTTCATAAATACTTAAATGACCAAAATACCCTTTTTCTTTCATACATACTTAAATGACAAAAATACCATTTTTCTTTCATATATACTTAAATGACCAAAATAACCTTTTTCTTTCATACGTAATTAAATGACCAAAATACCCTTTTTCTTTCATACATACTTAAATGACTAAAATACCCTTTAATGTCATACATACTTAAATATAAATTACCAACATCTTATTACGTAAACTCTAAATATAAATTACCATCATCCTATTACATAAACTTTAAATCCAATTTACCATCATCCCATTACATAAACTTTAAACACAAATTACAATAAACACTAATCAATTACAAGAGCTTTTCCCTTCGAATTTCCTGGATCATCAACACCACCAATTGTTTTGCCTAATTTCAGCTTCAATATTCTCTCTGACTTTCTTCTCCTTATCCTCTTCAAAATCTCTTAAATTGGCCTAACACTAACCTCCTGAACATTACCATTATCAACTTGGGCATTAGGATTAACCTTATCAACCTCCTGAACATTTACATTATCAACTTGGATAACAAGATCAACCTCCTCAGCCTCCTCATCTTGAACAACTTGCTCAACCACAACAGCTTCCTCAACCACATCAGCTTCCTCACCCATAACACCCTCATCACCTTCATAACATCTAGGTTGAGTAAATTGCATATAATGACTAAAATCCCCTGCACTACTAGATTCAACATCAATAGGAGCAACTTGCATATCATTTTGAGTAGTATCCATCTCAATTGGAGTCATTTCAACCTCTTCATGTTGTTGTGGTTCACTTGTACTACCCTACATGGCATGATATAAGTATGTTAGTAACAAATTATATGTAATTAATCTTATATTTTAAATTGTTTTACCTACCCTGCATTTTGCTTCACACATACTCTTTGTTTCTTCTGTTTCTTCACATTTAACTTTTGGGGCCTTCTATGTGGACAAGTGGCCTTCTTGTGACCTATCTCCTTGCAAATACTACATCTAATTTTCTTTCCAGCCTTAGAAACCCTATGTGTTCCTGTATTCTCTGTAGTCGATTTCTTCCTCTTAGTAGTTGGCCTACCATGCATCCTTCTATTAATAGGAGGCAATGGTGGAGTATAGTTTGTCTCTGGCCACATGTCACTGCTATTTATGGGAGCAATTCTGTAATTGTATGCCTTCCTAAATGTGGTTGTAAAGAAAGCTCTTGACCATGTTTTAGGATCTTTATCCAAGTGGGAGATTTTGTCCTAAATGTGGTTGTAAAGATTTTGTCCACCAGTAAATCTTCTGTAAATTCTGGCAAATATATCTAGCACACTGCATGTGCTCTACATATGGCAGCAACTCTTTAACAGCCTCTATCAAACCCTGTAGTAGTAAAAAGGTTTAATTTAGATAGTGTAAAATTAACATAAATGCATTACTATGTAAAATACTAACCTTATGTTGGTCTGACATTAAACTGAAACCATTGCCTAAATTCAAGTGTAGATCATCAATAAGAAGCTCTAGAAACCACTTCCAATTCTGCTTGTTCTCCACATTAACCACTGCCCAAGCAATAGGATATATCTTGTCATTTGCATCCCTCCCAATAGCACAAAGCAATTCTCCCTTACAAACACCTTTAAGAAAACATCCATCAAGACCAATTACCCTTCTACAACCATCAATCCAACCTTGTATAACTCCTTGAAAACAACAATAGAACTTGCTAAAATATTTCTTTCCATCTGGACCATCCTCCATATCTAGTTTCACAGTTGACCCAAGATTTGTCCTTAAAATCTCATGTCCATATGACCATAGCCTACCATAATGTTCAACAAGGTTACCTTCAACAAGTTTCAGTGCATACTTCTTTGCTCTTCTACATTGCCCCATACTAACTTGGATACCAAACTTGGCCATTACCTTTAACCTAAGCTTCCTTACACTTATTTTCTGACTTTCTACAATCTCTTTGGTATAGTGACTCCTAATCCATGCATATGTGACCAATGATCCAAACTTGAAGTTCCTAGCACAATTATGATCAGCTTTTAGTGACTTGATTTGGAAACTCTCTTCATCACTCATCCAGGAAGCCCATAATCTAAATGTGCAAGCACCCTTGCTATACCTCACCAAAAGTCTTCTCCTATCATTTTTTCAAAACACAATTGATATCCATTAGCCACAGCATAGTTACACAACATTGATTTTACTTGCCCTGGACCCTTAAATCTCATCCCTAGAATTGGTTTTTGTTTTTTCCAGTGTAATAGCTCATTTAATATGGAATGAGTTTGTATGTTAACTTCAACTTCTCTCCCATTATCATCATCTACAATGTTGTTTGCATCCTCATCATCAACACATAGCTTACTCAAGAAAAGATCATTTGATGTCCTATTCATATGCACTACATCCTCATTAAATTCAAAGGTAACATTTCTAAGTTCATCTATGTTGTCTTCATTTTCGCCATCAGTACAAGACTCATGTTCATCATCATCATGCCACCCATCAACACCAACCCTAATATGATCCACATAAACCGAAATTACATCATCTGTTCCGCAAGCATCAAAAATAAAAGCAGAATATTCCACATCATCTGAAATGGGATTAAGCCCTTCCATCAGGGACATGTCTGGTTCACAGTAGTAAAACTTTTTACACTCTTCATGCATGAAACGTTCGCATAAGGTCACAAACTCAGAATAAGTCATAGAAGAAAAGTCAACATCATTGAAGATGGTTTTAACACCACCAGTGTAAGAGAAAGGATTTCGATTAAATACCCCTTGGTAGTTGAGTTCCACCATCGCAAACAGTCCATTAGGTTCCGATTGTGTCATTGCTGCGACTTCTTTGTTTCTTTCAGCTCGATCACAGGAATGCTTCACAAACCCTAAATCAGTTTCTTTTACAGTTGAATAATGAAGACGAAGACGAGTCAAGTTCGATAGCTGAAGACGAAAGGATTTAAGCTTCGTACATCATTAATTGACGTGGCATATCTCACGTGGCATCTGATTAGACAAATATATTAATTGACAAAATGGCATCGTATAACCGGGAAACCTTCTAAAAGTTGATAAAATGGTGTAATTAAAAGGTCAATTACGAGTTTACTAGTCTAATGTACCAAAAAAAACTTTAAGGACCAAGTTAGCCAAATGTAAAAAGTTCCATGTGCTACAGTGATATTATCCATATATATATATATATATATATATATATATATATATATATATATATATATATATATATATATATATATATATATATATATATATATATAAGTTTATTAAGTCATTTTTATTTCTAAAAAATAAAAATAAAAAAATTATTTTATTTTCCATTTTTATCAATTATTTTCGCCACTGTTTTTAATATTTTATTAAAACGTCATTAAGATTTTAAAATTTGGCATATTATAATATTTTGATAAAATATTACATATTATATTTTTGGATATTAGAATTGTAATTTTTTATTTTTTATTTATTATCTTTTAGGAAGTAAAAATGACGAAAATTAATAATAAATATTTTTTCAATTTTCATTTTTGTATCTTTAAATTTTTTGATACCCAAAATATATGATTAAATGTCCTTTAGTAAAATGAACACTATCTTATTACATAAACAAAAACAATAAAATATCGTTTACACAATTTAGGTGTTGTTTGTTTTTTTTAAGTTAAAATATCTGCAGTCCGCGGATCACATCTGTAAGACTCTGTGGCAGAAGAAGTGGACCAAATGTCTGCAGTCTGCAATAAAAATACTGTTTGTTTTTAACGTCTGCGGTTGTTGAAATAAATTGATTTTTCAAACTTAATTTCATGTTATAAACATAAAAAAATCATTTTCAGCAAAAAAAGAAAAAAACAACACTGTGGTCCATGTTTTTTTTGTTTAGGTTAAAATGAGGTGTGAAGACTTTTGAAGACAGTGTCTCATACTTGGGCCAGGAAGACCTCACACAAACGTTTTTTGATCTGCGCACTTCCAAAAAACAAACACTCTGTGAAGGCATATGTATGCACGTTGTCTGCGCAGCGCATACAAAAGTGGTTGCGTAGATTTTCAAAAAAAAAAAAAAAAAAAAAAAAAAAAACCCTAATGTCGTTCATATAATATAAAACTAATTTTCCACTTTCATCACGGAAAAAGATGTTTCAAAAAAAAATATTTGATAAGATTTATGTAATGTTTTGCACGAAATTTTTAACTTTTAACGTTTGATAAAATAACGTTTAGAAACTTTTAACCTTTAGCATTTGATAAAATGAAAAAGTCTCTTGAACCAACAAATTTTTAGCATTTAATTTAAAAATAAACTTTCAAGCCCAAAAACTTGATTACATTTAAGAAAACACTACCAATTACTTCCTGTCAATTTATTTTATAAAAGTTAGAAAGGTTTTATCCGCATTCGAGAGATGCCAACAAACCTGTAGACAATAACCGAAACCTTCCTTCGTCTTGTCGTGCTGTTCACCGCCAAAAAGAGACAATACGCATTATCCAAGTTGCTATTATTGCACGTTATCCCTTCATTTTCTATCTAATACTATAAAACACCCCTTGTATATCCATTTATGGCTCGTTATAACAACCACAAACCTCCACTTTTGGTATTTGCCAAGGAGTGAAACTACCATGGTTTTAATAGAATTATCTAACAGAAACAAATAATTAGGGAATTAATAAAATCGAATATTATAATAAAAAAAATCTACAGAAAAATTCAAACTTTTTGAAATAAGTAACTATTAGATATGAGCAAGGATTTAAATTTTATTCCATACCATGTATTTTTGTTATGTACACCCTACAAAGAAACTAAGAAGTAATGGAAAATGACTTATAAGGCAAGAATATTTCAAAAATATTCAAAAAACATCATTAAAGTTTTATCTATTTAAAAAAGACCATCTAACTCAAGACATATAAAAAAGCACCAACCAAATATAACTTTTGTTCAAATCCAATCTAATGGTAACCAGTTCTCATGGGTGAAAATATGATTTGGATTAAAAATTACTTAGTTGGCATAACAACCAAACACATAGGATAGAAGCGGGTGATATGGCATTTGTTTTCTTTCATTTCCTCACAAACCCAGTTTGACCCATTACCCGACCTAAAATATATTTGCAACTATCCCCATTGTCCATTTCCGACCAAGTGCACCGGAGGCACGAGCGTAGCCTAGACTCGATGTTTTTTAGATCCTCTTGGATAAATATAATTGATCTACTTATAACACCCACATCTGAAAATTCAGTAGTTCTTTAATCAAATTTCCATATTGCATTATAGCATTTATGTCATGTAACTTGGAAACGGCTGACAACCAAAACACATGAATCACATGAATCTTTGTTGTTTCGAACATGAATATGATTCGAAATTTTGGTTTGTTTTGGGATGGATTCAAACGAAAGACCAACTACATGAGGCGATGAAGGAAGTCAAACCTTAAATCCAGTCAAGAAAAAATGGTTGTAACATCAGCTGAAACAGTTGTATATTTGCATGTCAGCTACAAACTTCTAAAGCTGGATTTGAAGGTTTGAGTTACCAATAAATAGATAAGAAAATGATCGAGTACCATAACCAAGGAGGACATTGATAAGCGATGCAAATACATATACAACACAGGCGAATACATATTTTCTTGTACTTTTGCTCTTTTCCTATTGTGTTTGTTTGTACGGTACAATATTCAAATCATCATCATTGTAATCATTAAGCTCTGAATCCATTCTTCTATATTTGTTCTTCGCTCTAAGAGGAACACCGGACATACCATTATCACCACCACTCCCATTTTCTTGAACACCCATACTGTTAACGATTGGAAATATACTAATCGAGTGAGCGAAATCCCGATTAACTTATGGGTTTTACGATTCAAAATCCGATAAGAAGAACCCATAAAAGTAATTGGGTCAATTCATCTCATTTGATGAGATTTGGATTGGGGAAGAAATCAAGAAGTTGATCAATGGAATATACGAACGAACCGTAGAGAGGGTTCCTCCCTCCCGTTAAACGATTTTGAGAAAGAAGGTTGTGAAAATCAATTTCTATTTCACTCAATCCATGTAAAAGCAAAAAATGACATATTATTTATATTATCATTTATTAATATGATCAGGTCATTTTTTTGTTGTGACCTACAAATACCGGTTACCAACCGGTTAGATTTGAACAAAATGTAAATTTGGTTGGTGTTTTTTTATACAAAGCTTATATTTAGATGACGTTTTTAAACATACAAAACTTTGATAATCTTTTTTAAACGTTTTTGAAGCTAAGTTAATTAACGCATTCCCTTGTAGTTTAGGGTAACCTTATGGTGCTCATAGATATCTATATCCGAGAATCCAAAAATCCGTATCCAAATTATTTGAAAAATTGGATACCCAAAATTTCAAATATCCAAAATTTGGATATATGTGTTTTCCGGTTTAGATACAGATAGTGATTCTTTAATTTTTCATATATTTTGGATATCCAAGATACCAACCATTTTTAATAAATATCAATTTTTAACAAGGAAAACGACCAACATGAGGCTCGTATATATTTTTTATTCGGTAGTTTCACCCTCTTTATGCTAACTGTTCTAATTATATAGTTTTGCATTTTGGATATAGGATTTAAATATCCGAAACCGTATCAAAATTTTCGAATATCCGAACATTTAAATTCTGAAAACTTAAAACCAAAATTTGGATATTTAAAATTTAAAATTTTAGGTTTTTGAACACCTAATAAACTATATATTTAGTCTTTATTACTTTTGGTTCGGATAATAGTTTTCAAAAAATAGTATGGTTTTATGAAAACATCAAATGGCTATTACTCTTTTGTTTTATATGAATATATACAAATAGTTTGTATTATATAATGTGGGATATGAATAATATGCTCCCATTTTTTAATATAATCTCCATAAAAAATCAAATATCACCTACATTTTGTTTTTATTTATTTGAGGAATTTCATATATCGTTTTTAAATATCAAAATATCATATTTATCCAACTTAATTTATTAATAGTATATTTAACCTTTATAAAATTTCAAAATATCATTTACCCAAATCTTTTTACAACGTTTTTAGTAGTATATAGTCATTTTTAATATCTTAGAATTATTATAATAATTAAAAACTAATTATATTATCTGTACGTCTATAATAATGAAACGACTACTTCTAAATGTTGGAATTTAGCTATTTTGACAAACAAAACGCTTCATCTCCGGTCCAATTCATAGAATGCATGTATTGATTGCTTAGTTTTTGTTATTGTTGAATATTGTTATGATGTAAATGGATATTATTTTAGTATTGCCATTGATATTTTGATATTTATGGACACACACATACACACACACACACACACACACATATATATATATATATATATATATATATATATCACACATACACACACACATATATATATATATATATATATATATATATATATATATATAAAAAGAAAGACATATATGATATTTAAGAAAAACATATACGATATTTTGATATTTAAAAAAGATATATACGATATTTTAAAGTTTTATGAAAAGTAAATATAATATTTAGAAATTAAGTTTGATAAATATGATATTTTGATATTTAATAAGGGTATATACGAAATATCATCTTAAATCAACACAGATGTCAAAATCCAAAAAGGAATCACATGTTTTATATGAGTGTGAAAATAAATAGAAACAAAAGATAAAATGATATTTAATTTTTCTAAAAAAAACCTTTAAAATAAGTGATCGTAATCTAGAATAGAAACACATGTGATTCATAATTAAATG